AAGATTTTCTCTTGTGTCACAGAATCCTTCAAGTCTTATTTTTCACCTTTCCCAACTATTACACTGAAATTAAATTTAGAAGAAATAAAGTGTGCCTACACTATATATAGCAGAATTTTTCCCCATAAAACCCAATCTTCACCCTGAAAATATTTGATGCCATTTACTTTTTGAGCAAGAGCCTGCTTATAAAATCCACCTCGATGTAACACAGGCGAATTTTCACTCAAATTTTAAGACTGAGACATTAACTGAACATTAAGACAACTTCAATTTCCTAGCCCATACCAAGTACTCCTTCATTCACACAAACTTCATATTAATTCTACCCCTAGCATTTTTCCCCATTACATTTGCATAATTGATTTTGAAAAAAATCAAAATTAAATATCACAACAGGAGGAATGTCCTTTCCTAGCAGAGGCTGTTCAAAAGACACCTCTGAAGGGAAGTGATGCAGCACTGCAACCCCAGCGATGGCCACAGACCCCACTGGGGTTCTACACGAGGTGTCCGTTCGCAATACCTGATCAGTAATACGGAGTCACTGCTAGTCACTGTGAATTGCTACAGCTTCCTATATGAATGGACTGGTATCAAGGGCTTAGTAGAGAGAAACACAGATAAGAACATTACAGTACACGCTCAAAAAATACTTGGAAAAAATCCATCAACTTTGATGGCCTTAAGTTCTGACTCCAATACATTCCAAGCTCTGATTGTTTGTGCAGGACAAAACTGTTCATAATCCCAAGAGTACTGACAGCTACAAAGCAGCTGATTCTCTGACAATAAAGATGAACACAGGATCAGCCAGGGTTTAAAAGTTACATTTTTTTTTACACACAAGAAGAGTGAATTTAGAAGGAAGGAACTACAGCTAATATACAGGAAATGTGGAAGTTCAACCCATGCAAACTCTTCTGGAAGACACCTGGCAAACCAAATACATCCGGTCTCTTCAAATGTTTTAAAAGTTCATTCCCTATGATGCTTTTGTTCTAACTAGATACTGCAGAAAGAGCATCTACTCCTCATAAACAGTTGTCTTTGTCACCACAGCTATCAGAGCTGTAGATACTTGAGAAAGTCGTTGGCTGACATCTGGATGGTTTCAGCACATTTTTGATATAGTTTATCATCATGCATAGCTGCCTGCCCTTTGCTATCAGACAGGAGCAATACAGAGTTAATAAACCGCATCTCTGAGGATGCAAATGTTTGCTCACTTAATGTTAATTCATCTAGAACAGCAGAAGTACAGACCTATAAATAAAAAAATCTTTTCCCCGAAGGATTTTACATTATCGTCCAGATCAGATTAAACTACAAAAATAAGACTTCCAAGTAGCAATAGCAAAGAACATTTTATTAAAATGGAATTTTGTCAAACCTTATGTATCAAAACTAAGGCCACAACTAACGCTAACACAGTCAACCTCAAAAGGTTCTTATAATATGATACAATTTAGAAATCTTATACAAAGCTTTTTTACAAATGAGTACTCAAACATTCTGAAACGCAGCATTACTTACAAGTTCTAAAATGATATACCAATTATTTTAGTGATAGTATTTAATAATACAGTACTAAACTACCAGTGCATATAACCTGTCTGTAATTTGGTCCTGCGAGGAAAGTAATTTTCTGCATCACTCCAGCTACAGAAATGAATGGAAGTACAAAACATTGTAATGGAAGTTGTCAATGATTCCTCCCATCTGGGCTGAGTTTGTTTCTTTTCTTCTGATGCTAAATATCTCCAGTCATAATAGCAATGAACTCTTCTTGGTTGACTGTAAAAAAAAGAGAAAATGGTTAGACAAACAGCAAACATCCATAAAAGAAAATAGTAAGTAGCTGTATTGCACTTTTTACTTAAAGGTCTCCCAGTTAGTTTTCAGTGTGTCTGCTCCACTAACTAAATAGGGACTAGAGGTTTGGATTTTTTTGCTTCTAGGAGAAGAGATTTTACACTTCTTTTTTCCCTCTCATGTAAAAGGAAAAGTCAGAATGCAAATTTAATTATGTAGACTACTTAAGCCACAACCCAGCTCACACATAACAAGCTATTATTTCTGATTACAAACATGACAATATTCTAAACAAGATAGAAAAAAACCCCTATGTAAAAAGAACCCTGTGAAAAAACATAATACTTTAATACTATGATTTTTCAAGATTTATAAAAATTTATCTACAGTTTTTCAAATTTTATGTAATAAGTGCTTGTCAAGCAACAATGCTGCAGCTCCAGTTATGATCAAATGAGGTTTTATTCTTAAAATGATGATTCAGGCACTTATGTTCAACTCCCCTCACCCTCCCAAAAAACATGGTATTATTGTGTCTCCCAAACCTGTCACATTTACCAAATATAAAATTAATTTTAAGATCATTTACTAATGATTCCATAAATTAGCTAGGATTAAAATGGACTTTTGACAAGCTTTTCCTCATCTGAGCTTTCTTCATTCTACAGTTATAATTAAGGGAAAATGTACACAAATGTACTTGAAGAAATTAAGTCATAATAATAAATTAATTAGCAGTCATTAATTATGTTGCTGCACTTACACCTGAGCTACTGACCTTACTCGTATGTTAAAACGGAGCCACTATAAAAGAGTTAACCCATGAACATGTTCACTCTGCAACTAATTACTGTAGTGGGGAATGATTAGAGTATGTCAGTGGTATGGAGGAGACACATATGAAGAATTCTCCCTGACATTTATCTGTCCCAGCCAGTGTGCCCAAGCTATTGCTGAACAAAGCACTGCAAAGTAAGAGCTACGCTTCCAACTAGAAGAAAGTTACGCAAATTCAACTATGCTAAAGCACAGTAAATAAACCTAAATCCACCCTATTGTGACACATTTCAAAAAAAATATGAAATAAGTAGATCTAGTCTGGATTAGTATCCTACACTCTGAAATTATCAGTCCATCATATAGCTACATCATGTTTCACTACACATAACCACTATGTTGTCTGCATTTCTTTAAAAAGCATTTCCACAGCTCCATCACAGTAACAGCACAAATACAAACATCCTCTCCCAAGTATTAATCTGGTTTAAAACATCTTTGTTAAACAACGCTGCAAAGTGGAAGTACAGTATTACAGTGACAAACAATTTTGTAACATTCAAATAAACTTCAAAGAGAAGCACAGTTACAATTCCCAGTAACCCAGTTAATCATCCACAGACGTGGGATATGTTCACAAGTTAGGCATAATCAAATGAGAAGCAATCAGTCTTTCCTAGGGTCAGATTTCCCTCAATTCTGTGACATAAATGATCATAAAAGAACAAAATAGCATTGCTCCTAATATGAAGAAAATGTTGACTTGGACTCTGAAGAGTTAAAGGAGAGTATTACTTCAATGGGGGGATTTTTTCCCCTAATTCTGTGCCAAAATCTGATACCTAAGGCTGGATCATGTTTGCTACAGAGGCATCCACACCAGATGACAAAAACTGCATGAACTGACAGCATGGAGTTTCTAAATATACTCATACTCACAACCAGAAGTGATTCCTGAGACCAGGAACATGAAAATAAGATCATTTACCTTTTTAAAGCAGGCATAAATATGTCAAAATATTTCCTTCTACAGAAATTTACACACAACGTACCAGTACAGCTGGTTTGCTGGAAATGCAAGGGTGCAAGTAGCTTGGGTATGACACAACAGAACTTACTTCTCTAAAAGCAAAACAACCTCTCAAATGTAAGAAGGGTGTTAAAAGAATAATACCACCTGTGGTTTATGTGAAGTATCAATTAAAAATGCTACCAACTAACAGTTTTAGATGGTTTTTTTTGCAGGAAAATAAGCAGAATTAGATGACAGCAGGATTTTGCTACATGACCCAGATGTTTGAAGCTAAATGGAACAGTGATTCACAGGATTATTTACTTTTTCAGAATGAATCTTAAAAAGCTAGAAACAGCATCAGTTTTCTTTAAGGAACAGAAAACACACAGAACAGCACTACATACAAACATTATGCTATCAGTCTTCCACAGTCGATCTCCTGCTTGACTGCTCTAACCAAGGAAATGAATGGATGAATAAGAGGAAACTGAGCTGCTCAGTCTCCACTGAAAAATGTGAATTAAAACAATGTAGCACTGACCCAAAATAATAGTAACACAGTAACCTTCCTGAAAGGAGCTAATGGTCCACATCCTGCCTGTAGTGACCAAACAGCCACATGACAAAAACCCTGTCGTGGATGCACGATCATGACATCCACAGGAGCTCCAGGAGAGTGAGAGCTATCAATGCCATGTCCTTACAACTCTTCCTTTTAAAAGCAAAAGAAGCTTAAAATTAAAGTCCCTACCTGGACTAGCAATCAAACTAATGGATTGAGAAGACAGGCATCTTTCCTTGCCTGTTACACAGCTACTGAAAAGGCAGTGGGTAGGTATCCTATTGCCTACCAGAACCACAGCTGCAATGCCATGTGTCACACTGCACGCAAATAGGTACCTGAAAAGAGGATTTCCAGCTTTCACTATACTGGCCTGCTTCAATTATCCTGCCGGAAACACTGAGAAAAACAAAATGTATTTTCTCAGGATGCATGTCCAAAAAAATCTGATCAAGTAGTGAGACAGTTCAGGGATCTCAGCAGCAAGAAAGGGAACACTTGAAAACCTACATGATTCGTTTTCTCCTGGTTTACCTTCCTTCAACATCTCACCTGTGGGATCAGATACTGCCAGTGCAAGAAATGGGTGGGAAGACTCATCTGGGAGTGTGTCAGAACATCAGAATTACGCAGTATGGATTTATCAAGGAACCACGGCCTCCGAACACAGAAAGATATCAGCAAGGTTCTCATTTCCACACCACTGATCATGTTTAAAACGTTCTTCCTCTTGAAAGAAAAGGGGTTGTTTCAGTACTTGAGTAATTGTATTCCCAAGGGTGGAATAACAACTGCCCCAAACAGCACAGGGGGGAGGAATGTCTGTCACAAGGATGACAACAACAGAGGTTTTATGGGGTTTTTCTCCACTAGTAGTCAGATTTTTGAGTCCAACAGATGTGGTGGCCCACAGGTCGAAATTCTGTTGTAACTGGAAAAGTTGATGAAATCTCAGACACGAGTGACCATCCTGAAAGAAAATCTCAGAAGTAGGTTTCAATGACTGTAAAAATGCAGTGCATACTGCACAGTCTCAAGTGAGTGGTCCCTGAAACTCAGCTATTAACTTCTGGTGTAAACATAAGGGTGTTTTCAAGTTAATGAAAAAAAACCTTACGTTTCAGTGCTCATGAAGATTTAATAAGCATAATATCAAACTGGATTTGTTAATTCATTCTTTCATCTAGCTACTAAATCCCTCCTGCAGCCCACTCTGTATGGACCTTGTCAGTTGCTCAGAGCCACTTTCCACACCAGGTTCTTCAGCACTTTGAGTTCAGAAGTACATTAAAGACCCATCCAAGCTGATCCTGCATAGACTTATTAGCTTAATATTCTCCATCTGACCAAGTCACTGAAATAACAAGTGACACATCAGCACTTAGGAAATACTGCCTAGGCGAACAAGAGAGTTTCTTTTAGGACTTTAACCCCTTTTTTGGACTTGAAATAAAACATAATGTAGAGACATGGAAACTCCCTTGTACCAGTTCAATTACTTTCGACTTCAACTACACTTTCACCAAGCTTTTCATGGAATCATAGAATGGTTTGGGTTGGAAGGGACCATGAAGACCATCTAGTTCCAACCCCCCTGCCATGGGCAGGGACCCCTTCCACTAGACCAGGTTGCTCGGCCTTGAACACTTCCAGGGATGGGGCATCCACAGCTTCTCTGGGCAACCTGTTCCAGTGCCTCACCACCCTCTCTGGGAAGAATCATAGAATGGTTTGAGTGGGAAGGGACCTTACAGACCATCTAGTTCCAACCCTCCTGCCATGGGCAGGGACACCTTGCACTAGACCAGGTTGCTCAAAGCCTCATCCAGCCTGGCCTTGAAGAACTTCTTCCTGGTATCCAGTCTAAATCTCCCCACTTTCAATTTAAACCCGTTACCCCTTGTCTTGTCACTACAGGCCCTTGTAAAAAGTCCCCTTTTAACAGACATTGCTTTAGTAGGAATTCGTGATGAGTCAACTTGAGAAATCCACTTGATTTTTTTAGACGCCAAGATGTGTTTCCAGGACTAGTGGCTCTCAAAACCAATTTCCATTATTTGTAAGCTAAATTAAGTTTGATCTGCAGGTTATTTAGAAGGAAACAAAAGAGGATATTTTGATAACAAAACCACATTTTAAAAAGGCAGAAAATTAAGAAGACTCTATGGGGTTTTGTTTGCTGTCACGTACTTTCTCCATCTCCATCCTTATCAAATTCTTCAATCATAGCCCGTAGTTCTTCATCAGACATATTTTCACCCAATTCTCTAGCAACCCGGCGCAGGTTTCTCAGACTTATTTTACCAGAGTCGTCATCATCAAACAATTTGAATGCCTTGAGTATTTCTTCTTGTGGGTCTCTGTCCAATATCCAGTCTGTCACTGTAAGGAGGATAATTAAGTTAGAATGACCTTAGCAAACTGAGGCAGTATGAAGAACATACACTTCCAATTTCACCCGTTTTTTTATTTTTGTATATTTAAACTCAACAAGCATGTTTGTTTGGCTGCTTTTTGACCTCTCTTTCTCACGCCTCTTTTCCCAAGCTGTGGTTCTCTTTGGGACACACCTGTTGCAGTGGAAAGCTACAGACAAGTCAGAGCCGCTCCTGCTTTCAATGCACCTCTCAATGGGAATTAAAAATACACACATGCCTATTATGTTCCAAACTTACCTTTCAGAAAAAAAGCATCAGCTCTGACAGCTGGAGACATGAATTTTATTTATTTTGTATGGTTTGATCAGGACAGAATTTTGACTTGAAGAGAACACTGAAACACTATGAAATTAAAAATGGAATCTCGCTTTTAGGTACAACACCAAGCTAACGAAAAACCCACAAGATTCAAGCTTAGGGTTATGAAGAGGACACTGCTATGAACTGCAAGATGTTAATTCTGAAAGGATTCATCAGTCTTTATTATTGCTTTTATCACAACCATTTGTCAGTTTCTGTAACAGAACAGACAAATTTGCCACATAAAATATTTTTCTAGTAATTATGTCAGACATTTCTGGAACCAGCTGTAAATATCTTCACATCTTTGTACCTGCTAGTCTTGTATTACACAGCTTGCTATTTATGACTCTCATCAAGCCATTAAAAACACATCAACCCCGTTTGCACATAGAGAACCACTTAGCATCTGCTACTGTCTGCAGATGGAATGCCTTCTCTGTCTTAGCAAACTTGACAGGAAAAAATTAGATTCAAGCTCATACAAGCTCACTACATCAATGAAGTTTATATGGCTACATAAATCCCCCAGATGTATGCTAAATTTAAATATTTTCACTTGAGAACAACTACACTGCATGACAGTATTAAATCATCTGAAGAATTCTACCTTTTGTGGCAAAAGGACAAGTGCAATGTTAGCTGCACACAAATAAAACAATGGGTCTCTAAGTACTATAGAAAACAGTCTACAGAAGTTGGAAGCAAGGACAGGGAGCCTGGGAAGATTACAGATAAGTTGCCTGACAAGTCAGGGATCAGGTTAGTTAGGAAAGCCAAAGCCCTGACAGAATTTAACCTGGCCAAGGAAATCAAGGCAAACAAGAAGGGCTTATGTCAGCATACAGGTGGTAAAAGGAAGATCAGGAAAAATGTGGGCCCTCTGTGGAAGGAAACAGGAGAGCTGGTTTCCCAGGATAAGGAGAAGGCTGAGGTGCTAAATGATTTTTTGCCTCGGTGGTACCGAAAGAAAAAAAAAAAAGCCATATCCCCAGAGTCATGGAAGACAAGGGCAGGGACTGGGAGAATAGACAGCCATCCATGGTCTGTGAGGATCAGGCTCTAGAACACCT